CACATGTATTACAGCAGATGTGGGGTGCCCACTGTTTGTCTTGATCACCTAGTTTACAACCGAAATAGAGCTGATATGCCTTTGTTATTAGTGGAGTAATAGACCGTCTCCGAGACGCAAAAGTCACATCACCACACACGTAACAAAACTGATCTGGATTGTTTACACACTGTCGAGACATCTTGCATGAACGCTGTCAGCCAACTGAGGAAAAAATGGCTAATATAAAACAATATAATGTACACGTATGTATAACGTAACACAATCATGCCGATTACATCATCTTTCCTTGCCGAATATAAAAATGTAGCACGTGGATTCTTGTGAATTACAGTATATTAACACTGTCACAGCAGGAACACAAATAATTACCGTATCTCTAAAACTTGAACTAATATTGAAAAAATAAGTTTCATTCCGGTTTTAGCACATTAAAAATAGTAATATTTTGTTGATTTTATTTAGGATATTTCTTGGCTGTTGATCAGTGTTATCGTCATTCAGTGCATAAACCTGACGCTAAGTATTCTTGCCTACGTATCAGAATTCAAACATATATTTCTGATAGTTACCTTTCATAAAGAATCTTTCGGTCCCAAAGTGTAATTTCACAGGATTCACAGTCTCAAGACCTTTGTTACCGCCTTATCAAATTTCCGACGAACACGAAGACCTCAAGAACATATGTTAAAGTTCACAGAGCAAAACATAAACCTGAGAAGGGTCGTTGGAACCGCCGATAGGAAATTTGTATTGGCAGCTAAACTAATGGAGTTTGTTAAACTTCGACAAGTATTCCGGACAATATACAAGATTTATGGCAATGTATGGAGGATGGTGCAGTTCCGACGTTTATAAAGAATGTTCGAAAAAAGTTTGAGGCTTGGAAGTAAGTTCGTCTTAATGATTATGAGTCACTAGCTCACGAAAATAAGGTGACAACCTTGGAGTAAAAGATAAAGGATTTATTTCAACCCCTTTATAACCGAAAATCCTGATATTATAATATTCCGTTTTATGTTTTAAGTTATTCAAGGTTAAATGACATAAAAATAGTGTTTTCCGAATACCTTGATTGATTTGCGTTCAATGATATTTTATGTACTGCAAAAGTTGTAGAGCATACAATTTGCTACATTCCAAGTATATGGTCACATTTAATTGAGTTGACCGTTTTTCGAGATAACACTTATTCATATATATGGCGTTTGTTAAACCGTGTATCGTATACTTTGTGAAGTTGATATTAAACAAAAGATTCGACAATTGTGAAGAAAACTGGATTAACCATCAAAAATAGTGAATAACTTTTGTAGGCAGGTAGACCAATTCCGCGATAGTGCGACATGTCTCCGCCCATGGGTTAAAATACGATTTCAGCGGCAAATATTTGAGTCGGTGGCAATTGTCTCCTCATTATTTGACTCTATTGTTTGAACGTACCTAAATTGAAATTACTCAGGATTAAGGATGAAACATCTTGTAGGATTGCAGAGCGTCACACGATAGATCTCTTCTCTTGTGGCTGCTTAGTCTCGAATTTACTTTTGCTATTAAATACAAGGATATTAATAATAATGAGTATTATATCAACTTGACTAGCAATAGAAGAAAGGAAACTGTTTGTAATGTATACTAAGTGACATATATCATGCAACACCCAGAATTATTTATTGCGTTTTGATTAAAACTATTTATCAGTAGTCCTAAGACTTGTAGAGTTATGCTCAAAATTGCAGCACTCCTAGTCGGTGTTGTATTCATAGTTGATTGCCTTAACTGTTAGGAGAAAACGTGCTTGAATTTCTTTGGGTAGGAGACAAAGTATTGCAAAAGTACACTCTTATAACTCAAACTCAAGCTTTCGAAGATTTATGTCTTCATCGTCTGGAGCTGAAAACAATTATTGACAATAGCAACAATTAACAATTAGGAGGAAAAATAGTTACTTACTAATTCGGCGAGATTGTTGCTGAAATTGTTTTTAAACAACAGTGGAGGAAACACACCGTCGACGATAAAAAAACCGGACTGATGAGGTTCGATCAGTTATAAGAGAGTACTTTTTACTTTTGCAATAGTTAGCCTTCTACCCAAAGAAATTCAAGGATATATATATATATATATATAACTTGAGACGTGGTCATTGTCGTCTAGACCAGTTAGGTGAAAAATTAAAGCTTCCGCCTTTTGTTGGGTACTTCGACAAAATTTAAGCAAAGAGGACTCTTTATACTTTTTTTAATTCTCTCTAGCTTTCAATGGACTTTGCCAGTATCATCAGGAGCTGCAATTACAATGATAACAGTAGCAACAAAAGTGTAAAATGATTTTAAATTGAATCAACTTACAGTAGTATGTGAGGATGTTGCTAATTGTTGTTTTCGTATAGGATGAGGGAAACGTCCAGTAACATGGTGAGAGCTGGATACATGGTACAATGGTTAAAATTATATAAAATATGACAAGACAAGTTAAAGACAGATTAAAAATTATTTAGAAAACATTAGAGCATTACGTCGTGAAGCCACTTGATGATTGCACAAAATGGTGGTCATGGAATAATGAGTGAGATGAACCTTTGACAGAAGGCCGAAGGTTGTCAATGTCTGTGTTGAAAGATGGAACGAATTGTGGGCGTGTGCCAAAACGTTGCCAAATCACTTCAGATGATGTGATTTTCAGAATGTTATGTAAGAAATTGTTAAACCGACCAGAGGCATTTGAATAAACTGTATTTTATTTAATGGGAATTTTAATAATTATTAATAATTAATAATTTAAAATTTAATAATTATTAATAATTAATAATTTAAAATTCTGAAAATCACATCATCTGAAATGATTTGGCAACATTTTGGCACACGCCCACAATTCGTTCCATCTTTCAACACAGACATTGACAACCTTCGGCCTTCTGTCAAAGGTTCATCTCACTCATTATTCCATGACCACCATTTTGTGCAATCATCAAGTGGCTTCACGACGTAATGCTCTAATGTTTTCTAAATAATTTTTAATCTGTCTTTAACTTGTCTTTTCATATTTTATATAATTTTAACCATTGTACCATGTATCCAGCTCTCACCATGTTACTGGACGTTTCCCTCATCCTATACGAAAACAACAATTAGTAACATCCTCACATATTACTGTAAGTTGATTCAATTTAAATTCATTTTACACTTTTGTTACTACTGTTATCATTGTAATTGCAGCTCCTGATGATGATGGCAAAGTCCATTGAAAGCTAGAGAGAATTAAAAAAGTATAAAGAGTCCTCTTTGCTTAAATTTTGTCGAAGTACCCAACAAAAGGAGGAAGCTTTAATTTTTCACCTATATATATATATATATATATATTAAGAGCATCCTGCAAGCAAACAAAACTCTGAGAAATATTATTTGCTAAAATGATCTCCTGAGGTTCAATTCTTGAAAACAAGGGACTAGAATAACAAACAGATTTTTTTATCATCTTTCTCAGACTTTTTGACGTCTGTTTTGATCCTTATCAAGGTTTGTAAGAGCACTTATTTTTGGGAAAATAAGTTGTTACTATGTTCTTTATATCTTTGAACGTTTCATCACAAAGTAAACTTTGTCTTTCGAGATGAAACTGATGAACAACGGTGAAAGTCCCGCAGTTCTTCTCCTAAAAATGATTTGGCAATTTTCTATCAAAGTTAAGGATTAAATCTTCCAGAAAGGTAACAGAATCACTCTCATGTCTATCAGTTGTTCTACTTCCACTTTTTCAAGAAATAACCTCTAGAGTCAGCTTTTTACCTATTTTTGATGAGTTCTGAATATTCTTCAAGAGACTGACAACACTTTATACCTCCAAAATGGCAATTTTTTTCAAGATGTACCTTACGCTGTTTAAACTTGTGAGTTATCCGTAGAGGAAGCATCTGCGAGATGTATCCTCACCATTACACAACCAATGGATCACTGTCATTTTGGTTAAGCAGCCAGCGAAAGTGTTTGAAAAATCAGACATTATTCAGCGCCCCATCTCGCAACGTTAACAGATTCCTCGTTGTTATTAATGATTGTGTTCGGGGAACGGTTAAAAATACCTTCAGGGCGAAATCATCAGTCAGAGTTTCAATTAGGCCCTCCATATTTAGGGAAGTGCTGGTGGGATGAGTTTCTGAACGTTCGTTTACCGCTTTAATGAATGACTTGGTATTTCAAAAATAAAAGTAATACAAAGAAGAATGTTTCTCTAAAGTTTGAGGCCTGGAGGAGGCAAACGAGCTGTCACATGGAAGACAGATAAATACAATGATAACAGTAGCAATAGTGATATCAGTAATCTCATTTGCAAATACAAATGCTATACAAAAGCTGTATACCACTTGTGAATATCGACTTGCTTGAATAGGTTATTAATTTTGAGCAATTTTTTGTAGTCTGTAGACAAACAATTGATCTAAGCAAGGATATAATACTTTATGATTCCATATAAAATTTTGGAGATAACTGAAGATTTACATAATAGGGTTTTTTTGCTTTAAAACTGAGGAAATGTCTGTGGGTATATAATAGTTTCAGCCTAAAATAACGTGTTCTGATGACTTTGTCAACATGCTTGTGAAAACGAATTTCTTCGTCTATGAGTAGTTTTTAAAATTTTAAATCTGCAGATTCAGACTTGCTTCAAGATGTCTCCGTTTTTATTTCTTGCACAATAGTACAACATTTGATTTTCGAGGATTGAGTTTCATGTTATTAATAGCAGAATAGTTATTAATACCTTCGAGATCAATATTAATTTTAGCCTCAATTATTTTGAAACCATCAGGTGGAAAGCTTAACAATAATAGAGTATCATCGGCATAACAATCGAGTTTATAATTTTGACTATCAAATCAAATGTATATATTAAGCACAAGAGGGGCCCCAAGACTGAGCCTTGTGGTACCCCTGAGGAAACATTCGGTAAATTTGAAACACTCGTTCCACCTGTAGCTAATAGTATTTCTTTTTTTCCAGTTTCAACGCCTTCCTGAACCACCAACGAGAAAGCAAGGTGATCACCCTAAAAGATGGCGCTGGGAGCAGTCAACTGTGGAGCTACTTCACTCATTGCGCGGCTCTGTGCGTTCTTCTGTCAATCGGCGTTTGCAACGCCCCCTTGATTCACGACTACACGGTAGTATATAAGGGCAGTTTGGATGACGTCACGCTCGTGTGCATCATCGGAGGCATCTTGCATTTGTTTTTCTGGATCGTCATCTGGCTGTTCCTGACCGTCAAACAGAAGTGGGTCTTCAAAGTTAGGATCACGGTGAGTGTACACATTTTATTTATGAAGATATTATAACTAAGGAAATGTGAATATTTGCTTACACTATTATGTCAGAAGGGATCTGGATGAAACTTGATATAGGTGATATACTGGGATACCACATAGGCTACTTTTTAACGTGGGAAATAGATTTGAAGTATATATTGTCAGCCAAAATCACTTCTTTTACTATTATTGATCACTGATTAGTAATTTGAATTTCTTTTTATTAATGACAGTGTGCCCATTCCTAGGTCAAACCCTTCTCAATGATTTTCTTTTGGTAAATTTCATAGTTTATTGATTGAATAATTTCATACACATTTTAGCTTTCTTTCTCAGTAATTCAGTATTGTGTTGGAAATAAAACTCTGTGGTTTTTCTCCATTACTTGGTTTTCTATCGAACGTATCTTCTTCAAGGCCACTCATTGAACATTCCTTCTATAAAGTTAGGTGTTTTTGGTGTCAGTTACAGTAGTTTCGGTTTGGGTGCTACCCCGTCCATTTTCGTATAGGATTTCATCATTTTCATCGAGCATTTACTTCATTTTTTATTATAAATGCAAAAATGTGTATGTTCGTATGTTCCGTTTTCATTCCAAAACGGCTGAACCAAATATGATGAATTTCCGCATGGATATAAAATATTTGTGGTTCATATACAAATAATAATTTAATGATAATTTATTTGCCAAAAATACCGATTGCTATAATTTGTTTCCAGTACTGGAGCAACAATGACAATATAGATGCAGGCACTCTTGGGGATACTCACATTGAACACGTATCGAGAAAATTGAGATTTCTTTTCTAAATTACTTAACGCTACAGCAACTTTGAATAATATATCACACACTATTCGAAAGTCCCATCAATTATGATGTACTAGCTTGCGGATCTGCTAACAATACTCATACAGATCAGCTGGAGAATATCAAAAAATTGATACTCAAGAGAATACATAACCAATGATTTATCTTAACGATGTGATATATCTAGAAGCTAAAATACGAGGCTTGTTCAATTGAAACCTACCTTTGAAACCCCAACCTGTCCAAAGATGGGTTTCAATTAAACAAGACTCGTGTTTGAAATTCGACAAGCATGCTGCTTCAAGATTGTCACAGAACAGCGTAAAAACAAAGACAACTTACAAGTACCACTACCAGAAAACAAACTATTACAAAGATCATACGCACATTTTGCTCCAGGATCTTATAATTCACTTCCAGCAGAGATAAAGAATAACAATAACATAAATAAAGCGTCTCATAACTATCAATTCAGTATTTAAGTTGCCGCTGTTCATCAAACAGTCTGTCTGGTTATTGCGTCAAGTAGTCTAAGCATGAAATCGAATGCTTCATTTAATTAATCCTAGAAAATTGAATTTGCACTCTTGAATGATTCACTCCAAGTTGTGAATTTTCATCCGACCAGGCAGTCGACCCAGTGCGCTATGCAGATATATTTTGCCTCTATTAGGTCAGGAAACATAGTGCGAAAAATCGTAGTCAACATCCTGTACAGTGAAACGAGTTCCTTTAATCTTTGCATACCCTAATGTTAACATTTAAACTCCATCATCAAATTCGTTTGGGTTTTTTCAGTGTTCAATTTAAGAGCATTGCTCTTTGCATAATTATATAATATAATAATCTGGTTCACGGGCGTCAAGGAGCAGTGCTAGTGTGCCCGAAAGTGATTTAGCTGTATTGGAAAAAGAGATTGAGTGCCTGGTAAGAGAAAAAAATTTGATCGATAAAATCGCAAACGAGAGAGGTTATATTGTGGAAATTCAGAAAAAACTCATAAGTGACCTTGAAGATAAATTCCGAAGTCAGCCAGTGGGCAACAGCAGCAAAAACAAAGATTGTGTTTCGTACAGTGCTATCGTGAAAAAAATGGACCATTCATATTTGTTGATTAAGCCTGCAGATCGTTCTACTTCGTACAAAACTGTTGAAAATGATTTTAAATCTCGTTATTCGCCTGGTGCTCTTAATGTCAATATCAACAAGACTAAACTCACCAAAAATGGTCTGATGATCAGCTGTAATAGTAAAAAAGATGTGGAGACTCTAAAAGATTCTCTAAAATCTGATTTAGGAAATAAGTTCGATGTTTGTGAGCCTACCAAAATGTTTCCTAGAATGTTGATACAGGGTGTACCTAGCGACTGTTTCAAAAATCCTGGTGCAGATAAACTTGAATTTGTTGATAGTTTTGTTGACGATTTAATATTCAATAACAATATAGGTGTTAATTCAGATGATATAAAAATAATTAGTTGCTATAAGGTTAAAAATACAAAAAATGTTGTTATCGAGGTGGTTCCTTCTGTGTTTAATTTACTTAGTAGCAAAGGGTTTGTTTTTATTGGCTGGGTGAGATGTACTGTCAGGGAAAATTTATACTTGCTACGTTGTTACAAATGTTGTAAATTTGGTCATGGTAAGAAAGATTGCCGAAGCAAGGATGTTGTCTGTTCTAAGTGCTCAGGTTTTCATGAATTTAGAGATTGTAAAGCTGATGATTCTTGTTGTCCTAACTGTAAGTTTCATAATGATAGATATAAAACTAACTGGTGTACAAAGCATGTTGCAAGTGATACCTCTTGCAGTTATTACAAAATGAAGATCGATCATTTGAAAATGCAGATTGCTTATGAATAATTGCACAAAAACTTATAACCATTTTGTTGTTGGACACCTGAATGTAAGATCTCTGTTTGCTGGCTTTGATTCCTTTGTAGATTTGTTGACTACTGATAACTATGATATTATGGGTATCTCCGAAACATGGATTAATAATGATTTTACAGCAGATATAGTAAATATTCCTGAGTACACTTTTTTCCATACTGATCGAGTAGGACGTGGAGGAGGAGTTGGTGTTTATTTAAGGGATTCACTGAGAGGTAAGCTGGTATTGCAAGATTTTTTATGTCCAGATGGTATGGAGCAGGTTTGTGCTGAAATAGTGTTGAATAATCTAAAAATTTTGGTTTGTGTTATCTACAGAGCTCCTTCGAGCAGATTATCAAGTTTTATTGATCATATAGACAACTTTCTCTCATTTGTGTCTCCTCAGTATGATAATATATGCTTGCTGGGTGATATAAACGTTGATCAAATTACTGACCATTCTTTTCTAGATTGCATTGCGTGCTACGATATGGTATCTCACATCACCCAACCAACTAGGATAACTTTAACCACGGCAACCTCCATAGATGTCATTTGTACAACAAATAACTTAGCTGAATCATTAATTTCAACTAGCTCTGTACCTGTTCCGAATTTGTCAGATCATAATGTAGTCAGATGTGACTTCAACATCACACGGCCTAAGAATTTTCAAAAGACTGTCAAATATAGAGATTTTAAACACTGTTGTAAAGATCAGTTTTTGGTGGATTTGGATAAAATCCCATGGGACGATATATATTACATCACTAACTTAGAGGATAAAGCTACGTTTTTTTCTAATCATATTTTGGATTTGTTTGATGTCCATGCTCCTGTTATTTCATCACGTATTACTAAACCTTATGCTCCATGGCTCACAGGTGGCATAAAATTTTTGATCTCCGAGAGAAATAAAGCCTTTAGAAAATATCAGATTTTAAAAAGTCCAGCTAGTCTCGAATATTACCAGAAATTAAGAAATGATGTCATTTCCGCTATTAGGCGGGAGAAGGCAGCATATCTAAGCTTCAATGAACAACTAAATAGTAACAAGCATCTCTGGAAAGCTGTACATTCATTGAAACTCAAAACTAATGTAGATAGATCTTTACCTACACAGTTGAAGAATGCCGATGAAGTAAACAATTATTTTTCTTCCGTTTTCACGCCTTCGGGCAATTGCAAGGATCTAGTTGATAAATTTAATAGTACCAAAATTAATGAAAGTGCTAGATTTGAATTTAGTTTTGCTACCCCACAAAATGTGCTAGACATTATTCTGTCCCTAAAATCTAATGCAGCAGGTTCGGATGGTATAACAGTCTCAATGCTGAAGCTTTGCTTGCCTCGAGTATTACTACCCCTGACGCATTTATTGAACTGTTGCCTGGAGGCTGGGTATTTCCCTGATGCTTGGAAACTATCTCTTGTCAAACCCTTGCCTAAATGTAAAAATCCAAAATGTCTCTCAGACTTAAGACCTATAACTTTGATTCCTGTTATATCGAAGATATTGGAGAAATTGATTAAACATCAGGTTTATCATTATTTCTCTAATAATGATTTCTTTCCCAAGTGTCAATCTGGTTTCCGCAGTGGTTTTAGTACAACTTCAGCTTTAGCAAGGGTTTTAGATGACATCATTGCTTCGCTTGATAAGGGAGATGCTTCAGCACTTGTATCATTAGATTATTCTAAGGCGTTCGATAAAATAGATCATGAGCTTTTATGTGCTAAATTGAAGTTTTTTGGTTTTTCAGACATACCTCTAATGTTTTTTATAACATATCTTTCAAATCGTAAACAAGTAGTAGAGATAGACAACACTATATCTAGTCCGATTGATATAACATCAGGTGTCCCTCAGGGTTCAGTTTTAGGGCCCTTGTTGTACTTAATTTATACTATAGACTTGGGTAGCTCTGTGAAAAACTCTTCTGTGATGTGCTATGCCGATGATACACAGATATATAAAAGCTTTAATAGTAACACTTTGCATACTTCAATCAATGAGCTTAATGATGATTTGGAGGCAATAGTAGGATACTCAAATGGTAATAATCTTAAGCTCAATAAGGATAAGTGCTCAGTGATGCTTTTTTGTCCTGCTGTCAAACGTAACACTGTATTGAATTCTCTTGATGTAAAAATCGACAAGGAGCGTCTAGCTGTCGTAAATACTACAAAAAATTTAGGGTTGATTATTGATTATACTTTACGGTTTAAGGAGCATGTCTCGTCTATCTTAAAAAAATGTTATGCAACGTTGAAGTGTTTTTATGTCAATCGCTCTATTTTGAATTTTAAA